TGAACCAGGGGGGGGGGGTGTCTTTTCCAACAAAATAAAAATGGCTCGCGCACAAAATTTAAAAGCTGCAATCATATTTTGAGTTAGCAGATGGAAAATTTGTCGGGATTTTAATTACTGTACAAAATTTCAGACAATTTGGTTTAGTTTAAGCCCCTTAACTATTCACGCAAAGTTACAATTTTCCCGAAAAATCAGCTATATTTGCATGCTTAATTAATGCATTTGCCTAATTTGCATATGTCAGCAATATGCAAATTAGGTAAAGGCATTAATTAAGCATGCGAAAGGCTGACTTTTTAGAACAAAATGAATAGTTAAAGGGCTTAAACTAAACCAAATTGTCTGAAATTTTGTACAGTAATTAAAAACCCGACAAATTTTCAATCTATCAACTCAAAATATTTTTACAGCTTTTAAATTTTGTGCGCGGGCCATTTTTAGTTTGTTGGAAAAGACACACCCCCCTGGTTCACAAAATTTGAGATCGAGAATTTTTTTTCATTATTTTACATTATAAGTACCCAAAGAAGCTATATATATAAAAAAACAGATACAAATAAGTGTTTTGCGAAATTGAGAGCCATTTCAAATCTGTTCAGTTTTTTTTGATACACCCTGTATTTTTTCTCTAGATTGTATAGTTAATATTCGACACATTTCGAATCACAAAATGACTTATGCCGGACTTGATCCACAATGGTAGATTACACAGCCTGTAGTCTTTACCACTAGACCACTTGCTCATTGTTGAAAGCCTATCGGAACTTATTCACCTTTTATTTTTTCTCTAGCTTGTTAGCTTGCATGTATAATTAATATTCTTCACATTTCAAATCACAAATTTATTCTAGTCTGCATTCACCTATGGTGTAACCCTTCAAATCACCTAGCTAGTGCGGACGAAAAATTAAGAAGTCCAGGAAATATTAAGCCCTATATTTTGTTCATCTCTAACTTACAATTCTACAAAAGAGAAAAGTAAGTAAGTAAAGTTAAGTACAGTAAAGTAAAAGTATAGTAAAGTAAATAAAGTTAAGTACAGTAAAGTTCACATACCTGGCACAAGTGCAATTAACTTGTATAACTGTGACCTGTAACTTAATGTTTTAACGTACTTAAAAAAACAGTGTTTATCGTACGTGTACTTAGAGAAAACAAAAAATTGCGCTCTTCATCCGACAGCATGCAACAGTTGCTCTTCCTACACGGCTAAAAACGCACAGGTTGTTCCAAGTTGATATCGACAGGCTTGAACAATGTTGTGCGGCCAACTATGAACAAGTTGTCAATCATGTTGTTCCAAATTGTTACAGTTGAACAATGCTGCAACAACATGTTGACAATACTGTTCCGATCTTGTTCACCCCTGTTGATATCAACCTGGAACAAGTTGTCGATTTTCTCAATTTTTACGCGTGTAGCACTGAAGAAACCACACAAATCCACTTTCTCGCTGGCTTAAAAAAGTTATTCATGCTATTTAAAGGACATTCGGCTGAAGAGGCTCGTCAACGTCATCTGCAAAACGGGCAGGCCTAAGTATGATACAATAGTGTCAATGGCCGATTGGACGAACACAAAAACATTCAGTAATTTTTATTATAAACCATCTCTTCCTGTTTCATTTGGGACACAACGGTATTGTCCTCCTAGTAATAAAGTTATTTTTTCTGTTCAAATTGTTTGTTATTCATTTTACCCCTACCCTTTGTACACAAAAGGATTTCGTCTATTACTGGACCCCCAGAAAGAACAGTTTTGATCCATACAGTATCAATTGTTGAAGTAAATTTAGAATAGTCTATAGCACTTTGCTCAGATTGCTGTTACCAATAATTTTGAATTATATATGTCTTTGAAAAATAAGATAGTTAATATTTTGGCTCGCTTCGTTTTCTGTGACGTCACATTTGGTAATAAGTTACTGATTCGGGATTACTGGATCAAGATCTTAGAATAACCTTTTGCATACAAATAACTGAAGTATGAATGAAACTGTATTATTAATAATGTTAATGCTAATATGTCAAAGACCCTAAGTTTGACAACTTAATTTTATTTATTATTTTTCGGAAGTCATGGATGAACGTGATATTCTGCAAAATCGATGGTCATTTGCATGCATGCATGCATGCATGCATATCAAGCATTAAACTTCATATATAGAATGGAGGGAGATATTTCTACTCTTAATATTCATATTCCTACCATGCATCATCCATGCATGTACATTCCTACCCCAAATATCCATCGTCCCACCTCAATATTTTTATTCACACTGCTTCAAAACCCATGCAGTATTCAATATTCATCTTGTATGCATGTAAACATGGGCAATATATATAGCTACGAAGCTGAACTATTAATATTAGAATTGTCAGGCCGGCCAAGAAAAGAACACAGAAACCACATATTTGAAATAAATGATAGTATTGAGACTTTGATTTAGTTAATACGAGGTATATTCATAGACCTGCTATTAAATAACACCATGGTCAATTGAGATAAGGTCTGGACACTATGCCAAAGTCTTCTTTCTTTTTAATAATTTTATCCATACTTGTGCACGGTGAAGCGTCCCAACACTATTGAAATGTAAAATTTCAAAAGATATGTGCACGGTGCAGATCGATGTTGCCTCAACCTATCCAACAATTCCAATTAACATGTGTTGAAATCAGATTTTGTTGTACGTTCGAGCAATTTTCTTGCTCGTATTACTTCATCTAGCTAGTTTGTTCGAAATTTTCCAAGCCTCCAGACCTGCACAGAATCTAAAAACACTATATTTTCCCCAAGTTAACCTAGAAATAACCCTATTTTGGCGAACTTAACATTCCTGGTCAAATTTCCTGGTTATTTTAAACTTCTGACTACTATAGTCTAGTTAATTTGACCAAGACTTCCTGTTGAAATTAACCAGACTATCTTAGGTGGATAAATAACCTGGGGCCCCTGGTTATTTATCCACCTAACATATACCCTGGTTATTTTAACAAGGACTTGCTGGTCAAATATAACCAGATCCCTGGTTACATTAACCATGCAGACTATTGTAGGAAATGTGATCAAATAAACAGGAATATTAAGTTAACCAAATAGTGTTATTTCCGAACCTCGTACCCAGGGTCTTTCCTTTTGTGGAGAAAAGACTCTGGCAGACGCTGGTCACGTGATCTGCCAAAATCTAGCAGATTTCTAATTAACTAACTTGGATTCCTTTACGAATTATAAATTAAACTAAAAATGTATCCAAATATCAAATATTTATCGACCTTATCTTCGATTGCCGATTAAAAATCTGCTAGATTTTAGCAGATCACGCGACTGCAGCGTCTCAGTACCAGGGTATTTTCTCCCCTCGCCAAGCAGAGAGACCCTGGGTACGAGGTTGTGTTATTTCTTAGGTTAATTTAATCAGAAAATTTTAACCATAGTGTTTTAGAGTGTTCTCGATTGACTACTATGTCATACTTTTAAACACAATATACAATATTTATAATTTATATTTATATTTATTCGCTCTCTTCTTTCGAATCGTTCTCGTCTTTTTTTCCCGAACCCGAGTCTCGCTCCAGTTCATCCGATTTAATTCGATTAGTCAAAGAAGGGCTCTCCCCATTGCGGGAGAATACTGGAATTTCTTGAATAACAGCACTTTGATTACAGTACATATCGCGGAGGGCAGGGCCCCCGTAAACGGCCATAGGTAGAGACTGAAACGGGGGGTACTTTGGTTGGGAACCTGCAATGTACCACGATCGAATATAGTCTAGTTCTTTTTCCAAAAGTCTACATCGTGTGTCTCTCTCGTTAAGTTGGGTCATTAGTTTTTTCACCATGTCCGATTCTGAAGAGCGCTGTTCTTGTAAGCTTTCTACTTGCCGTTGTAATGCTTCGCGAGTCTTGGCAAATTCTTTGATGTCCTCGTCTCGTTTTCTGTAGAAACAGGGATGATAATGATTTAATATTATTTATGATAACAGAGAATCGTGACAATTTAATTGACCTTTCCCCTTATAGCGATGCCCGTTAAGCATGACGGTAGGAAGCTTCGTTCGGAAGCAACCTACATCCTCCTACCGTCATGCTTAACGGGTAGAACGTTATGCAGAAAGGTCTATTAGAAGAGTAGACTTGCCCCAAGTCTCGCTCGAATGGGTTTCGATAGTGTCTATCCAGTTTATTATGAGATCAATTTTGAACTTCTATCCAGTTTATTTGAGATCAGTTACTGCATAGAAGTTCAAAACTGATCTCATAATAACTGGATAGACCCTATCAAAACCCATTCGAACGAGACTTGGGGCAAGTCTATTAAAAGAGTGATGATGGTAATCAAATTTGTAGGACTTAGAAACAACACGAAGCGGAATTTATATCATCGACATCGTTGCTAAAGGGGCATCGGAGGGAGCAAGGTTTTCAAGATGGCGGCTAATTTTCAAGATCAATAAAAAGCGAAGAATCAACAACATGCACTTATAACAATCCTAGATCATACCCTAAACCTTCCTAAACATAACCCTAACATTAACCCTAAACAAAAGCAAACTTAGCTTAAATTTTGAACTATCTTGAAAACCTCCTTTTCATCCATCCTTTTAGTCATTACCGAATTTATATTCTCCCATAAGATAAAATTCAGTTTCCTTTATATGCAATGCCAATAAATTTGCGGCACACATTGCCCATTGTTGAAGGTCAGTTACAACCTTATTAGAGGATGGAAGCATTTGAAAATACACATGGATGATGCTACGTGAATTTATTGCATTCGTAAAAATTATTCAGACTGATTTTTGCAGGGTAAAAGCACATAATCGCTACGATTTTGGCAGCTAATTAATATTAATATTCAAGTAATATTCAGTACGTGCATGCGTGACGTGCATTCGTTGGCAAGTACGTAAACAAAAATCTGTAAAGGAAGTTAGTGATGTAGTTTTGACTCGTTCATTCGTTTGAAATAAGACAATAAAACATTTCTCGTCATATCATTCGATAACCTTTATTAATAGCATACATAAAAAATTAAGTTGTTGTGCATGCAGTGTTTCATGTGCTCATGCAAGTGGCCATGAATTTGCTTTTGTGTAATTTAAATTTGTTCGTGTAAATTATTAATAAGTATAATAGTATGGTTTCTGGAGCAATTTGGAACAACAAACACTCGTGAGTTTTTCAAGGACTTCAAATTGCCACTCGTCCTTCGGACCCGTGCAATTTTGATCGTCCTTAAATTAATTGAAAAACTAACTGGTGCATATTGTTTCCAAATTGCACACGAAACCATACTATTACCCGTACTTATAGAATTTTGTCAACTTCTTTAGTGAGATATTTCATTCTAATAATGTGATTCGTAACTATGCATTGCACGGTTGTGTAGTATGTTTGAGGAGTACTAATTATGGAATATTTAAAAATGCATTACAATATCACGAACGTCTACGACCACACCTCGAATTTTTATAATAACTGTTACTATTGCAAACATGCAAAACTATGTAGTCGTGGTCATTAAAATTAATAGACCTTTGTGGGAGTAGTTAGGAATTTTTTATGTGATCGACGCCACAGCCACTATGTCTAAGTATTACCAAAACCGCAGATGTTTTCAGCTTCCTGTCGCCTACGTGTTATATTTTCGTGTCAATGAATCATTGAGGAATGCTACCGCATTTCTAATTACGTCGTGAAATCGAAATATTCCATGGCGACGTCTGATTGGTCCGCGAGAAATACGCTAAGATTAGCTAATAACAGTTTTACTTTTAATAACACGTAGGGATGTCCTAAATGTTTTCGCAGTAAAACATAACAGGTTTTCTCGGGTGTGAAGAAGCATCTAAGATATCACATGGTTCTAGAAAACTATCGTGAAATCCATACTATGGAATAATGCAAATTTTGATCTAGACAAAAATTTCATCACAGCTTGAAAGAGTATCACAAAATTAGTAATATTCCAAAGTTTCGTTGCGAAATGTTGTAAAATGCGGATAATATAGCCTTGCGAAATTTGCAATTTTCAGTCATTTTGTATTACAAACGGGAAATTGATGCCCCAACACCCGATTGGGCTGTCAATTTCCTGTGTGTAATACAAAATGACTGAAAAACGGCAAACTTCGCAGGGCTATATTACCCGCATTTTACAACATTTCGCAACGAAACTTTGGAATATTACTAATTTTGTGATGCTCTTTCAAGATCTTTTGTCTAGATCACAATTTAGTCTATAATGCAAATGGTCCATTGTATCACTAAATCCATAGTATACTTATACTATTACAATATGAAAATTGGATTTCCATACTATTTCCAACAAAGATCCATTATAGGCATTACTCTTTCCAGTATCGTAATGTGATCTCACAAGTATAAAATTTGCATAATAATAATAATAATAATAATACTAACTATATTTTGAGAGTGTATTTATACATTAATTACGGTAATTAGGACTACAGCATCCAGCATAATGATCCTCTAATCAATTAAGAATTGCTTGATGCTGCATCATCCTAAACAGCTTACGATGGATAAGTGCACATGATAACTTATTACATGCTTACATTCACTATACAGTTAAGGAAAGATTTGTAATATCTTTCAATTCGACCGGCAATGAGTTGAAGAGCCGAGCTGTACTATAAGATAATTTGCCATGGCGTTCGCCATTTCAGAGTTAAGTTGGAAACCTTGAGCTAATTTATTGCTTTGATGACAGAAGGTAAACAATTTTTATTTCAGCTTGTGATGTTACTCTGAG